CCCAGACCTGCACCCACGGACCCACACAGACCCCAGGCCTTCACCCACAGACCCCAGACCTGCACCCTCGGACCCCAGACCCTCACCCACAGACCCCTCCAGTCCCCAGGCTTTCACCCACAGACCCCAAACCTGCACCCACAGACCCCCACAGACCCCAGACCCACACCCTGAGACACCCCCCCAGTCTCCAGGCCTTCACCCCCAGACCTGCACCCCTCGACCCCAGACTCGCAGCCACAGACCCCCGTGGACCCCAGACCTGCACCCTTAGGCCTCCCCCGGTCCCCAGGCCTTCACCCACAGACCCCAGACCCACACCCATGGACCCCCACAGACCCCAGGCTCCCCCCAGACTGCACACCCAGAGCCTCCAGGCTCCCCCAGGCTGCACCCACAGCCCCCCACGGACCCCAGACTCCCCCGATCCTGTGCCCACAGCCCCCACTCCACAGCCTGAGCCCCCCAGTGCCCCCGGGAGCAGCCCTGGCCTGACCAAACCAGCCCAAAACGGGCTCTGGATCTGGGACAGGGCCTGGGCTGGAGGGGCTAAAGGACACGGAGAGGGGGCTCATGTCCCTCCCACCCCACAAAGCAGGTGGGAGATGGGCCAAGGGGCTCAAACCCTGAGGATGGACATACACCCTGTAAGTCAGGCTGCTCCACGAGGTTTAATTCCACAGCACAACTCCTCTTCCTCCTGGGACACGGACACTCACTGCCGAGGAAGGGGCTGCCGTGGGCAGGATGAGGTGGACCCTGGACCTCCACCCCAAATGGGGGGGTCAGTGGAACAGCTCCTGGCACTGCTCCTCCGGTGGCATGGGCACAGGGATCAACCCCTGGGACACCACAGTGGCACCCAGAGCCACAAACACACGGATGAAGGAAGGATCCACAGTGGGATCACCAGCGGGGATTCCTGGACTGAGATACAGAACCACTGGCCACTGAGCCCCCCGTGCCCACGGCACAGGAGACACCCTGGAGAACACAGAGAGCCCTGAGAACTGCTGGGATACGGCACAGATGGGATATGGCACGGACTGG